CTATAGGCGGTAAATAATATAGTTTACGTGAAAGGGGTGTATTCTGAAGGTATATGTGTGTGTGTTTGAAATGTCTGCCATCCGTTTATGTTTTAAGAAAGGCCATATAACAACAGACAAGTTCAATATAAAGCAAAGGGAAAATAACAAATACAAGTGACCAAGAGCCTGTTTGTTGATTGTATTTCTTTATTTTTTTCCAAATAATGTTGGCAGATTACCCCAACGCATTGTAGACGACCCTAACATGCTCATATCTAATTAGGTTATATAAGCCTCTGATTCTTTTAGCTGCGAGATTTGGTCTTTGATATTAGCCCTTGATTTTTTTTCGGCCAAATGACTCCAATATATCTACAAAATGGTTAAGGCTCGTTGCTATCTTTCGGGAAATGGGTTCTATCAGTGATGGCCTGCCTTCAATCGAATAAATATGCTAGACTTCAAAGGTCAGATTTGCGAGGAAAAGCCGGACGGCCGGCAGGAGCAGGCGGCCGCAGTGGACAGCAGCAGGAGCCTGTACGCGAAGCAAGTGGCCCAGCGCGTCAGGGAGGTGCTGGTGTACAAGAGCGGCACTTCAAGGACCTTCGGGATCGTCCTGGGAGGCCGCGGGCCCACGAAGCGGCTCCTGCAGGACCAGCTGAGCCCCGAACTCAGCCGCATCGTCATCAAGTAGATGCAAACGGAGCGTGCCGGCCAAGAGGGCCTCCGGGAGCTCATGAAGATGTGCTACGGCACCCTGCTCCTGCTCCACGCCGTGCCCACGAAGACCAGCGGCATCGGGCAGGGCCGCACCTAAGCTGGCAGGTTTAAGCAGTTGGACTACTCGCACCATATGCCTGTATCTTATCGATATGATTTGTTGTGTCGTAATTGCGTTATCTCTTTTACCTGCGATGTTGCCGTGACGAGTTAAAACATTCACGCAATCATTTCACACTACCACACTCTACCACTGGAAAATCAAATCTTCATCTATAGGATTTTTTGTGCCGTAGTCACAGGCTATTCTTTTGCTTTGTGTTGTAGCTGATCGTGATTAATGGAAATGATGCACAATACATGTTTTTTTTTTTTTATAAAATGAATTGGTTCAAGTTATCCTTGCTGATGCCGATGTCATTCCCCCTATCTATTCTCATATCTATTTGAGATGGTGAGTAGTTCAAGTCGGCTCGTGAAAACCGCTACTCTCCTCTCCCTCACTTATTTTCTTCTTGAAAAATACAAAAGTGAAAAAAAACGAAAATAAATTAAATAACCTCATTAAAAACTGCAAATAATATAAAAACATCGGCTTAGCAGCACTTGATAACATCCCTCCCTCTCTGTTTTTTCTTTTTCTCTTACTATCTTGGCCCTTACATGTATGATTTGGTTCGTGATGCATACAATGGACATGGATATCTGACACGGCATCAAAGGAGATCTAATTGCAGCACGATCGCCTTGCAATGCCGTGAGACGAACATCGCCGCAGGCCAAAGGACCAGGACTCGCGAGTGCAGGCATTATTAAGCCGCCCAGATGAAGTGGACAGGCTCCGCCTGCCATGACCCCCATAGATCCAGTGAAGAACCATGGACTCGTCAGAGCAGGCCCCAGGATGCAAGAACTACGATCTACGTCCGTAGAACGGTTAAACTCTAGGAGCTCCCCAGCGCAGTAATAAGCCGCCCTCTGACAAAAGGACGCCCCTGTCAAGGACGCCCATAGATTCAGACACAGGCTACTAGGACGTCGGTACGAGCCTCAGCCGAGAAGGACCTGGACAAATCTTCGAGGACATGTGAACGAAGACGCCTCTGAGTACCACCTGGATAGGTCACCCTTGAAGTAATTCAGATGACGCCACGAGGACGAAGCGTGAGTAGGTGGCTGAGCAATATAGCATACTCCACGTGGCCGTGTTCAGCAATGTAGCATACTGCATAGCATACCACGCGGTCCCCACGTGGTCTGCTACGGTTACCATGTGCGAACCCAAGCCATGCTTGACCATCGACACGCTGCGGGGCCCGTGGGACGCGCAGCCCACTTGCGCCACTTGTCAGAATATAAAGGAGCCAGCGTTGACCTCGTTCTCACACACCCTCAGATCTTCGGCGAGGTTGCCGCTCCGGCGGGTCGGCCAGGCTAACACCCTCACTGACCGCCAGCCTCCGTAGTGTTCTTCTATCTCATATTTCGTGTTATCAATAAAGTGTGAAGCTACATCGGTGTATCACTAGCCGTCACCAGTAAATTCAAACTACACTATAAGGCCTTTCGTACCGTTTATAAGAGAAAAGAGAGAGAGAGAGAGGGAACGGAGAGAGGAAAGAGATGAGTGAGAGAGGAGAGAAAGAGATGAGTGAGAGAGGAGAGAAAGGAAAGAGAGAGAGGAGAGAAAGAGAGAGGAGAGAGAGAAAGGAGAGAAAGAGATGAGTGAGAGAGAGAAAGGAAAATGAGAGAGAAAGGAGAGAAAGAGATGAGTGAGAGAGAGAAAGGAAAATGAGATGAGTGAGAGAGAGAAAGGAAAATGAGATGAGTGAAAGAGATGAGTGAGAGAGGAGAGAGAGGAGAGAGAGGAGAGAGAGGAGAGAGAGGAGAGAGAGGAGAGAGAGAGAGAGAGAGAGAGAGAGAGAGAGAGAGAGAGAGAGAGAGAGAGAGAGAGAGAGAGAGAGAGAGAGAGAGAGAGAGAGAGAGGGAGGGAGAAGGAGAGAGGGACCCGAGGGCCTGCCTGCTGTTTGTGGCAAGTCAACTGCCTACAAGGGCAAAGTAAACTGTTCCTACACAGACTGCCCGAATATCTGCCATCCCCAGTGCCTCGGTGAAGACGGTCAGTTCACCTGCATAGAAGTGCAAAGGCTACACCAAGCCATTGGCATCCCGGACGGTCTCCCATGTAATTACTGATAACGAGGCAACTGCGACGCACGAGTCTCCTGTCATTGATGAGGAACGGGAATTTCTCCAGCTGGAGCCTACGGATCTAGTTAAAATAATCTGTAACCTAAAATCTGAGCTGGCAAGGAAGAACTCGCTTCTAAAATTCCTCGGCACTACCACAGAGGATATTGCGAGCAAAAGGGATGCTTTTGTTAATATATTTAACTTTTTTGACAGCATTGTTGCTTCGACAACTGCACTCCCATTCCTGGAAGTCAGATCAATTGCCTTTCGCATCAGCAGCAACAGAGCAGCTCAGATCCGTCTGGCCTGCAGCAAAGTAACTTTACACAAGCGCTGTCGTCGAGCGCTTGTGAAGTACCTAGTGATTCAGCAATCTCAAACTCAGCTACACAAACCTCAGTAAATGCAGGCAACCAACAAAACAGAGCTAACAATAGACAGTCAAAGCCAACGCACTCGCCATCCCCACAGATCCAATACACCATTTAATCGAGGTGCAGCACTTCAGGGTGGAAGGCGACCATTAAGCTGCAGGATCTGCAAAATTAGAGGTCACTCAGAGGCCTCATGTAACAGAAAGAAATCCTGCGACTTCTATCACCGTAGAGGGCACCCAGTTCAGGAGTGCCGGGCAAAACGTAATCAGGAAAGACATGAATCTTTTTTTTACAGAATTTTGCATCTGAACACACAATAATGCCCTGATCGTTCAGACGCTCCAAAGCCTGTCTACTGGTTCACATCACCACAGACCATCAGGATTTGGTGGTTGGCCACTGACCGCTATCCACCCACCTTATCGATCACAACTCAGTCCTCATGGCCCCTGGTTCAATGTCCCACTCCAGCAAAGGGTCGGACAATCTTACCATCTTCTTAGCTAATGTTAGAGGTTTCCAAACAAATATTGGTGACCTTACACATAGCCATGTCATACCTCAAAATCCTGACATTGCCACTGTGGAGACCTTCCTAATTCCAACAGTCCCAGAGAACTTCGGCAAATCTCTGGGTTTTCGAAATGGCACAGAAAGGACAGAAGTAGTGGTACTTTTGGTGGTGTTGCAGTCTGTTTCCGTAAGGCACTTTCCGTTCAGCTCCTGGAAATCGACATGCCAGATCACCTTGAGCTAATGTTCTTCAGGCTCTGGCTTACCACCCAGGAAACCGTCTTACTCTGTGTTTGTTATAGGCCCCAGTGGCAAGGAGAACCCATCGAGTTCCTAATGAACAACCTGGATGGAATTTTACATAAGTACACCTGCAAAAACATCCAAATTGTAGGCGATATGAACCAGCATCTTGTTGCAAGATCCTTTAGGATCTGCTAACAATACATGGGTTAAACAACCATGTTGATTTCCCCACCCACATCTCTGGCTCTTCTTTGGACCCTGTCATCTCCGACCTTCCCGAAGGAGCAGTTAGCTGCCGTAGCACATGAGCAGTGGGCTCCTCAAATCATTATGCCATATTCAGCAGGGTTAACCTGAAGGCCACTCGGGAGGAGGCACTGACAAGAACCATTTGGAGCTGGAACAAGGGCTGCTGGCAAGGTTCTCGCAGTGTCTTGGAAAACATCAAATGGGACTCCATTCTCACAGATGTTAACACACAGGCTATTAAACTGACCGAAACACTACAGAACCTGCAAGAATGCATTATACCTCACAAATCGTACTAGGTTATAGCAGGAAACCAGCCTTGGTTTGGGCACACATGCAGCCGAGGAAAAAAGCAGAGCCTGGAATCATTTTAAACGTAATCCATCCTCAGAAAACAAACTGACCCACAAAGCTGCCTGCAAAAGAATGGACCAAGTTCAGAAATGGGCCATCGAACAGTGGAGACAAAGTCTCTGAACAAAACTTACTAACCGTTCGATCGGCAGTAAAGAGTCGAACAACAGCAGGGCCTCACATCCCAAGACTGCATTCCACCATTGTATAAGCCAGATGGTAACGTAGCAACATCTAGTCAGGACAAAGCCAAATTACTTGCCTCCTCCTTCTCTCAGAAGATGTGAGTCTGTGAACCTGACCGCACACCTCCTCAGCTTCCATCAATGACTAATCAGAGACTTAATTCACTGATCATCTGTGCTG